TTTATAAATTTTACAATAAAGGGCATGGATATATAAAGGACAATGTTGATTATTAATGATTATGAATACCTATGCTAAAAATAACTGACAGAATAATTGTGTATATGCATAACATATGTGACAGTATGAGTACTGTGCAGGAGAGTGCCACATGGTTACTCCTATGTTGGTTGTAATGATGGTCCATTGACCATTGGATGATGTGTTGCCTGGCATAGACCAGGCATGATGGTGCTGCTCTTGGTTTATTTATGGTGTGTAAGGACATCATGTGGAGGGGAATACAATGAACAAGTAGGAGACAAACCTGCTTGGGGCAATGGAATTCCCCTTTGCTGAGAAAACAGAACCTGAAAATCCTTCTACAAAAAAAAAGTAAGCAACGTGGACAGATCCGCATAAGAAAGCCAAGAGGGGGATCCCTCTTTGTTTTAAGATATTCTTCATTTTTTACGCTTTACTTTTTACATTTTATTCTTACATTTTACTTTTTACATTTTGTCATTTTGTAATGAAATCACAACATCTTATATATGGTACGTTGTAGTCTCACTTTTAGTTTGGAGTGCACAATATATAAACATCAGTTACTTTTGAAACTTCACATTAATGGCATTTTACGTTAATGGGCACCTGTAGATTCACTTAGTGTTGATCCTTTTCAGGATCAAAGGGGGGAAGTGTAGTAAAATAGTTTGCGCCAATGATTAAAATATATTGGATAGATGTTTGAGTATTGAATAAATGTTTACTTTAAAAAAGGTTTAAAAGTTTGTGCGTCAGCATGGAAAATAGGGAGCTGTTTGTGAGAGACCCTGCACGTGCAGATCTGAGTATAGCTTTGCAGATAAGGCTTTTAATTAAGGGGAAAGAATTCTGAGTGCAGCTTTGACTTTTAATGAAGGGGAAAAAATTCTGAGCACAGCTTCAAGGTAAAGCTAAGTTAGGAAAATGCAGATAGCTGAGTCAAAGGTCGTTGAATGTCTTAGGTGCTGCAAGAAGCAGAGGGCCTGTGCGTGAAGACATGCACTTAGAGAATGGGAAGTGCAGGACTGCATAACTTAGCTAAACTAATTGTAATAACTTGATTTGTCATCTTCAAAACACACTGAGCGGTACTGGGTACAGACAATGTGAAGTTTTACTGGGACTTTAAGCACCAGGGTTATGCTGACCAAGTTTGATGTGAATGTTATGATCATAAGTCACTGAATGAAAACTTTGTTCTGAAACATTAATGACTAAGAATATGATGTGTTATTGATTTAATGGCAATATATGTTATCATGACCTATAAGAAATGTAACCATGACCTGTAACAAAGGTTTTAACTAAATATATAAAAAATATGTTTTGAAAGGGACTTTCCCCCGGTANATGTGTATATGAATGTCACCGTGTTTTGCAGATAAATATCAATGTGACCTTTACCAATGACTGAAATATGTTCTGAAGGGGGTTTTTCCACCGATAAAGGAATGTATAAAAGGGAGCTGGTTTCACCATTTGTCAGCTTCGGCTCACCAGCTCTGTGTAAATATGTAGTGTTTAGGAATAAAAACTGGACCTGGACTCAGCCGCCCTCTGTCTGAATTTTTTGATCTTTGTTTGAGACTTTTTCTGCTTTTTAAGAACTTTGAATTTTTATAAAACTTAGCTTCAATTTTAAGTCGTCAAGAAGAGAATTATAGGACGACAGGCCAGTACTAAAAAATTAAAGAATGACATTGATATGCCTTATTATGCCAGAGTTATGGCCGTTTCTTCTGCATAAGATCATACATGTGATAAAGCAAGGGATATAAGAGGAGACAGTGGCTGGATGACTCTTACACCTTATACTTTATACTTTTTTATTTCTTAACCATTGTTCAACACAAAGATTTGCCCTTTTTTTACATTTTGCCAGTTATGCCCTTTTTAACAGAGTACTTTGTTATTTAAAAAAAATAAATTTAACAAAAACAGGTTTAGCACATCGATCCCCTATCCCGTCCTTAATTTAACGGCGCAAGAATGACATCAATACGCCTTATTATGCCTGAGTTATTGAATTTTTTTCTAAATAAAATTGTATATGTGATAAAGCCAGGGATAGAAAGCGGAGTCAGTGAATGAACAACACATCTCCGCTTGTCCCAAATTGTTTGATGTGAAAACATGAAACTTGGAACAGATCATCTTCACATGTGTCTAGCGCTGATATTGAAGGAATTGTTTAGATATAATTTATGGTTTGGCCATGAAACTATGTGGTTCGGGGGACTCTAAACAATTTTGAAACCAAAATCTTTAAAAGTTCTCTTTTATTACATCGTTGCCCTGGCCACTTCTTGTGTTTGTGTAAAAGCACAAAGTTGGCACAGTTGTTTATCGACTGCTTATTCCATTGACCTAAAATTGTGTCTCTATCTTTCCCATTATTTCATATATTAATCATAATTCAACACAACATTTTATACATCCTTTACATTTTGCAAATGTTTATCTTTTATTTTCCAAAGGACGGTGTCTTTTTAAGAATATTTTCAGTTCAACTTCGTTGATTTTGGACTTTTTCTTTTGGTTCATCAAATACAGGAAACGTTTTACTTATAAGTTGAGGAAGTTTCTGTCATAATTCTGCTAAAGGATTCTAACCTAGAAAACCTTAAGATTATTGAACTGTTACATGCAGTTTTAGGTTTCTGACTACTTCCTATTGTCATGATCTGCCATGATAGCTTGCCTTAATTGTTCATATCATCCTCCTGCTTTTGCCCGGTTCCTAATTATCGCTCATCTCATCCACCTGCTGGTTCTCCTTTATATTCGGCTTAGCACAGCTGTCAGGGCCAGATCATTGTTTGTTTTCTTTATGTCGGTTTCGTTAGTTTGGATTATGTTCGAAGTTTCGTGTCCTCATTCCCTATGGTTAGTGGGTTAAAAGGGATTTAGTTTCTATCTTGCCTTTTGATCCTGTTCTGGCCCTTCTCTGTGGTGCCCTCAGGGTTTTGTCTCAGAACGCGGGGAGGGTCAATTTTATTCCTGTAAGCCTGGCTCTTAGGAGGACCAGTTTAAAATCCTGCAGAAATCCTGGTACCATATCTTGTTTCTTTTCCCCGAACCACTGAGCCTGCCCGTCTGTATCTGAGCCTGCCTGAGACTCCCTGGAACTCTGAACCTGCCTTCATGCTCTGTGGATACTTGGAGACCTGCATCTGTCTGATTCCTGTGTGGATTGGAACCCCTGTTGGGCCACGGGCTCCTGGATATCAAAACTTTCCGGTTCTGAACTGGATCGCTCTCCTGTCAGCTATCTGTGGTTGCTTCACCAGGGACACCCTGACAGGCTCTGCGCTGGATCCCGTTTGGCAGATGCTGCCTTCTCCCCAGAGTATGGACTGAAATGTCAAACCAGGTAAGTGACTCATGTCGTGGGAAAAAAATATTCAACTATTCATCCTAGTTAAATAAACGGAGATCGATGGATTTCACTCAGTTGGCACATTTATTAATCATCTTTGCAATAAGAGAACAGTCATCATGGCACAGCATTCTGCTCTGTTCTGATCTGGGCAGGGTTCGTCCCCCCCTAGTTACAACAATGGAAGCAGTCAGAGTCATAACAAATTACACACACTTTGCTTAACAGTAACATGTTATGAATAAACCTTGAGAAAGAATCTGGATTGTTATGGGAAGAAGCTATGTCTGGTCTACAAACAACATTCTGCAGGGAATGGTGTGGCCTTGAGAGAGAAACAGACTGAGTGAAAACTTTTATAGTGAGTAAATATGAATATTAATATATAATTAGAGAAAGATATGAATTTTCCCACAACACTCACCATCATCTTGAGTTTTTACCTGTGTTTCTCCCTCCAGAAAGTGTCAGTGATGGGTTGCATCTTCCTGCCCACTGCAGCCTCTGCGGTCTGCATTTTAATAAACATTTCTTACTTTTCTACTGTCTCACAATTGAATACCGTTTTATGACACCTGTCATATTTTCACATATTCTTCAGCAAATTTTTGCTTTTTTCTCTTTATTCAGTTTCTTTAGCTACTTGTTCTTCTTTCATTCAGCATAAAAATGCATTCCCACTTGCTGTTCTCTACAACAGCTTTCTCTAGTTTTAATCAAAATTTGATGTTTTCATATGTGATTTTGCTGCTTTAGTTTTGCATGCTCTAATTGTTTTTTTTTATATGGTATGGCTGTAAAATTTCCTCGAAATTTCTATGGCTAGAAATGTGTAAACTATTTTCCCATGGGACCATACTGCACTTCATAATTTATGCTTAAGTATTCTTAGGCTGCATGATATCATCATTCTGATACTGACAAGATTGTTCTAAGACTGCTTTATTCAACAAAGTTCATGTCGTTCAGTTATGAGGATGGAGGAGAGAAAGAAGGGAATGAATGGGAAGGGAAGGAATGATTAACAATCAGGTAAAGGCAACAGTTTGGTCTATTATTAGCTGAAAGCGTTGGAAAAACAATTTGATACCAAGTGAGTCCTCAATATTCTTTATATTTAAAAAAAATAGCAAGATGTGTATTTTACTTAAAGCTATTTTTGCTATTATGCTTGTCTTACAATATTACTTTATGGCAAAGAAAACTGTCTAAAAATATCACTGATCTGCCTCTCCAAACAGAACTGTCATTAGCAGTTATCATGTGATCACCCTATTATAGATTGTAATTGGTTGAAAGTGTTTATTTTAGATTTCTTGCTCATGTCTTAAAATATAATGAATAATGGAGTTTGACTAGGTTAGTTTGGTGGCTGGTAGTGGATGTGATAAAATTTCCCTTATTTTGAAATGCAAAACTTGAAATGTATGTCCTTTATTTTAAATATTTAAAATCATTTCCTTGATTGAATACAATTTCAAGTCTCAGTTAATTCTAAAGTGTCCATATACAGAACAATGTCATTAGCAACATTAACATGATCATGCAAATCTTATTTAGAAGTAGTTAAGACATTTCTGTAAGCTTGTTCTCTTTAGAGCGGATACAGAAGAACACCGCTGAATGTGGTGCGATAATTGCCTCCCCAGACTTGACAGTTAGCATACAACCGGATAGATACTTGGTCGCCTTGTTGCAATTGCAAGAATGCTGCATTGCCTCCATTATCAGCCCCGTCATATGATGTTTGATGGTCAGTAGTACTTATAATATAATGGTTGTTCTTCACCAAGACCAGACCTGTAGGAACATGTCCTCCAGCATGATAAAAGAAGGTGAAGTAGTACATGCCTGCCACAGGTGCAACAAAAATACCTGGAAAGACAACATACAAGTTAATAAAAACAGTAAACCATGACCCAACCTTTTAGATGTACAGTTGCTCATTCACATTGCTAATGACAAACACATTTGTGGTGTTAAAAGCTACAATTTTTTTGATTGTATCTTTTTTTTATATATAATTTAATCTTATCAAAGGTATATTTCCATCTCTACATATAGAAATGAAGATTAAGGGAATGTAAGTCTACATTAAAGTGAAATTAATTCCTTTATAAATGTTTAATGCGTACCCCTCTCAGGTCATCATGCCAGAACCCTAAGAAGGCTGGGTAACTTGGGTGTTACAGTATCTCTGCTTATTTACTGAATCCCCCATTTCAATTTAAAGTTGTAAATAGGTGATGCCCTGGCACACCAACTTTAAAGTGCTCTAATGGAGATTGTGACTATCCCTGCCTATACCTTACCTCTACTTTGGCAAATTCTCAAGTGGTGCAGTCTAAAAACCCCTCTACTACATAAAGGTGAAATATTAAATCAGGAAGTGATACTTGATTTGAAATTTAGACGTTAAAAAAATTGTATTATAAAATGTATAATTTAACTCACCTGTCTGCTGATTGTAGGCATTGCCCACATTTGTTATCACTGTGTTGTAAACTATGGTTGACTCTGTGCTGTAGGGCCCAACATCTCCACGTCCAGTTGTTGCAGCACTAAATGCGACCTTTGATGCTTCTAAATATATGTATAAAAAAATTTAAACCGGCATATCAACAGTACTTTGTTATTAAATTCAGGAAACAGTTCTACCTTTGTTTTTCAGCTCTAGAACCTGGTTTTCAGTCTCCACCAGCCTTGTTTCCATAGTTTCTTGCTTTACTTTCATGGCACCAAACTCTTCGAGTAACTCGCACATATCAGGAAAGCATGCCTTTGTTTCAGCTCCTTCTGTTTCAGACAACCCATCCTGGGCCAAGGTTAAACCACAGAACCACACAAAAAAACAAACTCTGAAAGTCATCCTCATTCTCTTATGGTGCCTCCAGAACTGACTGACCTCATATGCTGTTTGTTTGTTTTTTTATATAGTTTTACAATGTCTTATTAATGTTTAACTAGATAGAAGATGCATTGAAAATTGTATGTTTCCCTTTTCAACACTTTTGCAGGGATCAAACAGCTCTATAGATCTTTTTTTAGTGGTGTTATTTTCATTGTAAAGGCAGACGGTTTTTTTAGGAGCCACAGATATAAAATATTAATGGTTTTGTTTTGATTTCTTTCCCATATCTACAAAGATCCAGCACGGAAGAGGATTAGGGCCACTGGAAAAAAAAAAGTTAACTGATTTTTAAATTTTATTTCAGTTTAGTATGGGAAAAAAAAGTTAGAATTCTGACTTTAATCTCAGAATTCTGGCTTTTTTCTCAGAATTCTGACTTAAATCTCAGAATTCAAAATTTAGAAAGAAATATTGTACATCATGAACCATCTGAGAAAAAAAAACATATATGTACTTCAAAGACGTGTTTAAATTAGTGCATGCAAATCTTTAAGTTTACCAGATAGATTAAAAGATACACTTAAAGGTTCAGGAGACATTGTTCAAAAAATAAAAAAAAGTAAAGATCAACAAAAAATATAATAGTCTTATTTTTATTGTCTTGAAATGTTTTGACAGATAAACACAAATTCAGACAATATTCCTAATCAATATACAAAAAGCAAAATGCTAAATCATAACAGGAACACCCTAACCCTATGTTTAATAAAATATTTACAGGACTGGAATCATAGGCACAGAGCAAAGATAGGTTTTTGATCTGATCCAAGGACCAGACACAGTTATTTTGATAGTTTGTACCCACTATCACATAGAGGTTTTTACATGCCCCACACATGAAGGGAGTGCATTTCCCACACACTCTGCACTTTGTGCATGTCATGATCACTATCCTGATAGCTGACCTAACTGCGCATTTCACTCACCTGTCTAACTCTGCCCGGTTCCTAATTACAGTGTTGGGTAAGTTACTTTAAAAATGTAATCCGTTACAGTTACAAGTTACCTTGTTTAAAATGTGATTGTGTAACTTTTTTGATTAGTTTTAAAAGTAATGTAACTAATTACTTTTGATTACTTTTTGATTACTTTAAGGTTTTAATGAGTATTGACCCATGTTCAACATTTAATTTTTGAGAACTGAATGTGAACCTTTAAAAAGCGCTAAGCTGAGAGGGAACTGCTGACAGGCAATCACAG